ACTGAAACATTGTCAAATTCCAAATTCAATTTAACAGACTGGCAATATAACGGCAAGTGATGGTCTCACTGTCTTCAAGAGGGTTGAGTAAGTTTGGTCCTTGTACGTATGATTTCTTAAGACAAGCCTTACATCCTGGGGTAACTAACTCATGAAAGTGAACAAAATGTGAGTGGGGGCAGAGGAATGCAGTGCCATGTGGCAGTATTCTTTTGTGAGATAAAAGTGATCTGAAGTCACATTTCACACTCTACCAGCTCTGGGCAGGATAGCTGACACAGAGAGGTACGACTATTTTTTTCTTCTTTTCTGTTTTTTCTGACTTGAATCTAGTTTAATCTTCTATTTCCCCATTGTTGACATCTTTCTGTAAATCAGTTGAGAATTTTGAGCTCATTAGAACAAACGCTGAAAGGGTAGGTACCTGCAAGTGAAGCTTTTGTAAACAGAGCTGAAATAACGATGCTGCATGCACACAGCCATGCACTGGAAGGCAAACAAATCCTGACTGCAGACAGGTGCATCATTTGGTTATGCAGCCTGTCATTAAGCTTTCAGACTTTGAAGAGGCTTTAGAAATATGGACAGACTACTATTCATGCTACTCTTTCAAGCCTTCACATTCTCTTTTTGACTTTAATAATCAGTACAAATCCTTCAGTAATTCACAGTAAATAATTACCACCTTGTTCTGAAATTGTATTGACTGTAGTTTTCATACATTCACATTATATATCTTGTTTAGTTTTATTTTTTTTTATTCTAGGGTTTTGTATTGTGAATTGCCATGTTACAAATGATGTGAACTATGTTAGAAGCTATGTTTCTTCTGTGACATGTTTTTCTTCCTCACAGTAATAATTCTATTGTCTTTAAACAAATCAGCTTTGATTTTCAGTCAGATAGTTCAGAAACAAACTCTAGATATTTACATGATCCTAATTTCTGACTACACTGAGTTATTTGCTTTGTTTCACTGCACGGCTTCATAATTTTACTTTTTCTTACTGTATTACAGTTTCTTATTTCATTAAACCAGTTTAAAATAAATGTCTTCTAAATATTTAAGTTTCTGACTTTTTATTTCTTACAGTTTTTCAACAATGCACATAATTTCCTGGTGGTAGTCTTAGTTTTCATTTAAATTGTGGATGCTTTTCACAGTTAGGCTGTTCTAATACCCAGAGGCAGCTGTGATTCCAGCCCTGTTCTGAAGTCACTAAATTAACATAAATGAAGATTACTCTGTGAATCTCAGCAGTCCTTTCAGCACCCTTCCTCACAGGCAACTTTTTGACAGAACATTGAACTGATATAGAACCAGTTTTATTTAGTCTGTAAATGTCTTTTGGTTCATTTACAAATATCATCCCAGATTTTATGTAAAATCAGCCCTGCACTGTTATCACCAGGCTAATACATTAAGTGTCTTTTGCATCAAAATTTGGCTCCTCACTGGAGGTTAAGCTGTAAAGATTAGTTCCATTTTATCTTTTAGTCTATTATTTGTAGCTTAGCTTTATTCTACTTCAGAAAAATCTTTCTTCCTTACAATGGTAACTACAGGTTAAGAGATTTATGTAAACCAACCGGTTTGAATGGAACTAATGATGAGCAAATTAAGCTACCTGATTTCCTGTGTAATCAGATAACCAGACATCTAATATCTGGACTTTATATCACCAACTTAGCTTTTTCATCTGACCTCAAGTAAAAAAATTGTTGGATGGAAAAAACCAGCCCATATAAAGCAAAAACCTAAGCCTCAGACAGTTTTCTGGTAAATTAGGATGATATAACTCCTTTACTCCTAAATCTGTAATAACTGACTGAATTTTACTTTCATATCCCTGTGGGGATAAGATGAAGAATAATGAGGCTTGTCACAGCTCTTCAGAGTACTGCTTTAGGAGACTGAATATGGTGTAATTGTCAAGCAGCTGACCAGCTGCAACTACTAAGTGTTTCCTTAAGTGTTTAAGGAGCTTTTATACCTTTTTCATCAAGCTTAATATTGTCCATGATACAAAAAGGCACATTAGAGAGGATTTAATTAGCAGTTTTTCTAGCAGCATCAAGAGAGGGGTCAGGAGGTGCACTTTTAATATACTTCCTCTGGAGATGGGCATTCTGAGCAAGTGGACAAGTAACTACCACCTCTACAAAGGAGGTCCTGCACATCTGTGGAATGGCCAGTGCCCTGTTCTTCCTGTACATGTCTATGTATTGAGAAACTGGAGAGTTTATAAGGTTATAGTCTTGGTTTTTTCCAAAGTAAAAATGGGCTCCAGTGCCACAGTTTTTGAAGTACAGACAACAGATTGGAGTTTGATTTTCAAAGGCTCGAGCCTTTCCCAAAAGTTTGTCTTGTTTGAAATGGAATAAGGTAGGAAATGGAGGGAGCTATAGCCACCAGTCATAAAAAAGAAGTAAGCCAATCCTTCTGTTTTTAATACATAGAGTCCAGCAGTAAATAATAAATTTCTTTTCAATCTGAATTCAATATTTTCCTTCTGCTTTGGGCTCTCACTTGCATTATTTCCACTTCTTTCAAACGTCTATTGGTGCAATGAGTCACTTTGAACTGCAACACAAGCTTTAGTGCTACCAGTAAAATTTGTGCTGTGCTTTTCCTGTAAATTAATCAGGTACTTCAAGGTCCAAGCACCTTTCAAAGCAGTAAAATCCATATATTCGTCTCATAGAAGCTAATAATAACAGTACAGTGTTACTAAATGTGTCTGGGAACCATGATGCTGCTTACTGTGGTTACAAAACACACAGGTCAATTGGATATAGATACAATAGAGATTTACTTCTGCACCTAAATCTACTTCATTTTATCTGTTAATTCTAACCTGCCTGAGCAAGAAACATCTTGTATTGATTATCTGGTTTTGAAGACAATGAATGCTTTTGAAGTATATGAATCAGGAAATTAGGTACTTTCTGCAGTTTTGAATGCTATGTCAAGCCTGCTTTACAGGCTGAAGTTTGTATATTTCTTTATGTTCAAGTACTTTCAAATATTTTCTATTTTACTTAAAATTTCTTTTGTCTGCAGTAGCTGCACTCTCTGAAATGTGATTTAATGCTACTTGTACAGCCTTTCACTGTGAAGCTGGGACATCATTTAACCAAGCATTTTCCCCTCCTACCCAAATAAACCATACATTTTTAAAAAAACACAGCTCAAATATACAGTATACTTATGTTATGGGCCCAAAGAGGTAGAACATAAAGTCTGACTGTGAATTTCTTTTTTCACAGTGTTAAGTAAAGAACAGCTCCAGTAAGAGCTGGAAGGGGCCACAATGTGTGCTTGTGCTTGCCACATGCTGAGCATCTGTTCTCAGCTCCCAGGGATTCAGGGAGTCACTGCAGCTGCAGGAGTCCATTCTGGAAATTCAAAGTGGCTCCCAACACTCTGCAACCACACCACCAGTGTCTCAGCCACAAGGCTTTATCTCAGGCTACATTGCTTCTGCTAGGCTAGTGTCAAGCTTTCCCATTACAAAATATCGCCATCCTTTTATTTGTCTGCACTAGCAGACATATTTGTCATACAGAGTGCTGTCCAAGGAACTTGAGATAATGACAGTAACTGAGAGTGGTAACAGGCAAAAACTCAGACTGGGTATTTCCAGGAAATTCAATAATTATGGGGAGCCCAATTGTGGTGAATCCTCATTTGCTGCAAAATGGCAAAATGGAAAGGGGTGGAGTTTTGTTGTGTGAGTATACTGTTCCTTTTTGTTGGTGTTGAGATGATGTGGCTTTAATGCAGGTGGGGATTTTTTTGGTTGATGTAAACAAGCACATGATGAATTCAGCTCTCTAAGACCTATGACTAACCTACAGAACGGGACATTGACTATTGAATTTCATCAGTTTGAAGGGACTTTACATGAACATTGAACATGATATTAACTTACTTCTTGGAAAAACATATAGTACTATATACTCTGAGCTTACATAAAGTAACACGACAAAGGAAATGGGAAGCTGGCATTGAAATCTATGAATTTATATTCGTATCAGGCCGTAGAGAGGGCAATCAGGGTGATATACTTCCCCTTTAGAAGCTCAACCCAAACTTTAAGCTCCCTCAGCACATGAAATTTTGTAAATGGAAACTTTGAATGGTTGCCCTTTACTTTGCTGCTGACTTGGGGTGGTAAGGTTTTAAGGGGAGTACTACGCAGACATGTCTGTGTTGACAGGAATACTGTGCTCCACACACTGCTTTGTAAAGGAGTGGCTGCTCAGGGTCTGCACATAGTGATCAAATAGCTGACAGCTGCTCTTGTTTTTCTTTTTTATTCAGGAATCCAGCATGAGAGTTGGACTGTGAATACTGAGCTATTATTGTTGGCTCACAAATGTTGAGCTGCTGGTATTGATTTTCTGAAAAGATGTTTGGAGCAGTAACAAGAATAAAAAATAAAGTCAAGAATGATGAGGCTTCACAAATAGCCAATAAAAGAATCCACAAAAATCTTAGTAAACTCTTGGGCTATTCAACCTTGACAATGTCCTTTTCAATCTGAATCCAATCTTCTCCTCATGTTTTGAGCAGCCAACAGCATTTGTTTCTACCCTCACAATGCTCCACTGGTTCAATGAATCACTCTGAGCTACAGTTTGCACTTCTAAGCTTTCACAGTCTACACAGTCACCCTGGGAAAGCAGAGAAAGAAATGGGTAGTGGAGGACCTGGAGTAAATGATAAAAGTCCTGTTCATCAGAAGGAATTTCTTCTGAAGTCAATGGGAGCTCACAGCATGGGGTGGCTGTGAAGCTAGACCCCTTATCAGGCCTCATATGCACCTCCCAAACACACATGCTGTCCTTTTGTAAACTTTAGGATTTACAGTATTTGATTTACCCATGAATACATGAAAAGAACACAGACATTTTTATTATAAACTCTATTACCTTACTAAATTTTTAAAAATACAAACACAAAGCAGGTGATGATCACAGTAGCTTTAAAAAAGCAATTTAATTTTTATTGTGAGATGATATTCCACAACTGTAGCCAAAACTGACATATAATCATTCCGTAACTCTCAAAATAAAAAAATTAATTATCCAGAATAAAATGCTCCATATGTAAGCTTTCCATAATGAAAGTCCATGAAGAAAACTGACCCTCGCTATTTGAATATTTCATTATTTCTGACACAAGGGACTTAAAACACTACTTTTGTTTAAAACCAGAGTAATTAGTCTCATTTTATTTCATTACACCAACATAAAACTGGAGTAATGCAGCCATAAATTAGGTCAAATATTTCTAGAACTACTAACTAAGATAAAAAATTAAAATGGGCAATATAATGTTCTTTATGGACAGATGGAAACACCACTGACTACATGGGATAATGTCTTATCCTACCAGCAGTTCCATTAGACTTACTGGGAAGTAAGTTATAGCATAAAATTCAGCACACAGTTTACCAGTATCTGGCTATTCTAAATCTATTCAAACAGTCTCCGAAGAAAGGACTTTTTGGTTGATGTTGATAACTTCATGGTTTTCTTTTTGCGCGATGGTTTCATGGGAGGCTTTTTCAGGCACATCACCTTTTGGGGAGTTTGTAGCCCTTTATTAAGGTCAATGTGCTTGTTGCAGAAGTACTTGATATTTGCTTCTGAGAGATGTAGAAGCCTGGTCTCTGAGAGATCCATACACTGCGCGTGGACCCAGTGGCCAGCCCCACTGGAACACAGGATCATTGCGGGCTTGTTGAGTTCTGTCGAATAGAAAGGGACCCAGGTGTTAATGTCAATATTGCAACTGGCACAGCAGGTGATCCAGTAGCCCGTTTCTGATTCATCCTCTTCATCATCTTCATTGTAAGTATCAGCATCGTCAGCATCAAAGCTGTTGGCTTCAGCACTAAAACAAAACTCCTCTGAATCTTCAAATGGAGCAGAATCTCCAGGGTCTTCACTTGATGTCTGACTGCAAATTTGTGTTATTAATTCTTCTTCCTTGTCCTCTTCTGCTCCTTTGCATCTCAAAATGTAGAAGTAGTTTGCATCTGGCATTATCTGTTTGTTGGCCCCTGGAATGCCCAGCAAAACAGACCCCTTACCCATATCACAGCCAAACCACATTCTGCAGTGTTTAATATCTGGTGTCCACTCTGGGCTCACACTTTCAACAATCTCTATCTTACTGTCTTCCAGAACTATGGTGTTACATGCCAGCCGTTTCTGGTTGTCTGAGTGATAGCCACCGACAAGGACAAATTCATTGTCACTGATCTGGGTCACTATAGCACTTGACACTGATATCCCCCCTGGCAGGATGGTGCAGGTCACAGCTGGGCTGCCCAGGGGCAGATCAATTTTTAGCTTGTACAAGTTAGGGGACCTGGTGTTATTTTGAAGTGAGTGGCCTCCCAAGATGTAGATAGTGTCATCTCTGGCAATTGAAACATGGAAAGAAAGTCCATCTTGAAGCTCTGGAAGTGCGTATGATGTACAGCATCCAAACTCAAAATCAATAAGAAACACAGACGGCAAACAGTCGACTACGCTGTTCCATTTTTCAGTGGTTCTTTGTTCAAGAGGAGTATACGACCTCCCTCCAAACAGAACACTCATGCTTTTTCCCCGACTGTGAACTACATTAATTGTATGCCCATATCTAGCTTCAGGGACATCTCCACCCAGGTCTTTCTCAATGCATTGGAACGTCATTTTCTTGCTAGCTTTGCTTACCAGACTCATAAAGTAAATCTTATCAGAAAGGTCATTGTTAGGTGTTTTACCACCGTGGATGATATACTGGTACTCATCAGCCCTTGCATCGCTTCTGAGCGTGCAAAGCGCAGGGTAGCGGAGAGGGGGAAGGTAACACGAGTCTTTAGAGAAGAAGGCAGGTTTCATTTTGAGCTCATTCTGCTTTATATTGAGGAGGAAAACACCAGTGGGGCAGGATCTCTTTGGCCATCCTTTCTGACCAAAAAAGAAAACATGCCCATCAAAATTCAGGAGAGAGAAGCCTGGCTGAAGCAAGGATGAGTTATTGACGGTGGATACCATCTGCAGCAACATTTTGTCTGTTGACTGGGCCATACCGTAGCTGGGAAAATAAAATAAAAAAACACACAGATCAAACATGAATTAGATCCTATCACAAATATTTAACAGAACTTGAACAAATCCTATGGAAGTTGTGCTGCAGTTCACTCTGAAACCCACACAGACACGCCTTTCTGCGTCTCGAGACATGAACCAAGCACGAGGTGTGCACCATTTCCGCGGTTTTTGGGGATTTTGAGCACACCACGGGCTGTGGGCACACGCAGCCCGCCCACGGTGCGGCCTTAGGCCCGCGCTGGGGCGGCCTCCCGGGGCGGGAGCGGCCGCTCGCACGGGGCCGCGGGCCCGGGGGCTGCTGGGGCCGGTAGTCCTCGCTGGGGGTCTGGCCCGGCCCGGCACGGCCGCCGCTTGGCTTATCCCCGCCGTGGGCAATCGGAGAGCTGGCTGCGGTGAGT